AGGGTGGGAGCTTGAGCTGACACAGTGTATTAGAAGCTTCAAACTCAAGAAAGAATATAAAGGTGGGTCAGAAATCACATGGTGGCGGCAGCAGGCACCTAGCCTCACAACGTAGAGGATGTGGAGCCTGAATCAAGGGGAAAGGTGGGAGGTCCTCTCCTCCAGGCCATATCAGTTTCTAGAAAGTGCGTGCTCAGTAAGATGGGGGCCAAGGTCAGAGGCCCAGGAGCACTGTCCTTTGTGAGAAATAAGAGCCCTTCAAGCTGAGGCTGAACAGAAAGGTGGTAGCTCCTTGCTGGGTCAGCAGGGTCACATACTGCTGGGAGGGCACCACTACAAGGAGCCACTGATGACCTGTCTAGAGCCCTTCCATAGAGATAAGACAGGAGCCAGACTGAGGTGGCAGAGCAGTGACTCTGGAGGGAAATGAGGTCAGCAGTGGATGCAACCCTCAGAAGTTTGGCTGAGATGACGAGGAACAGCAACTAGGAAAAGGCAAAGTCCAGGGAGGCATTTTATTAAACTTTTAAAATGCTCTTTTAAAGTTCCTAATCTGGTTTAGCCCCACCAAAGCAGAAAAAAGGGCCTCAGACCTTTACCCTTATGCTGGCCGCTGAGCCCCAGAGATGGTCACTGGGGCTGAAGCATGGCTACAGTGGCTTGGGGTTGGGGGAGGAAGGGAGGTGCTATCTACTGACTTGTTCAGAGCTGCTGCTAGATGTGATGGGAAAAGAGAAAGAAAACTGACATTTAGTTGTTTTTATTTTATAGAGAATACATCCTTTTTTGCCTGCCTGCATCTGACAGACTGCTCCTACCACCTGGCCCTGTGCCACTAGTGGGGAGGGACAGGGTTGGTCCCCAGAACCTGGGTGTGCACCTTGGTTCCTTCACATTCTAGCTGACTGGTCTAGGCAACCTCCTCACTTTCTTTGAGCCTCTTTGGCTCACTGAACTTGAGGCTAACTCTTACCTCATCAGTGTTATTGTGAGGACGGAGGGCAATAATAAGATAGCTCAAAGAGCAGAGCACATGGTAACTACTTACTAAGTTATCTTTTAGATCAGTGGTATCAACCTGAGAACCATTGCTGTAGAGCCTAAGACCATCGGAAAACACAGATATTTACATTATGATTCATAACAGTAGCAAAATTATAGTTATGAAGTAGCAACGAAAATAATTTTATGGTTGGGGATCACCACAACATGAGGAACTGTATTTAAGGGTTGCGGCCTTAGGAAGTTGAGAACAACTGTTTTAGAGTAAAAAAACAGAGAAGACGTGGCTAGTGTTGCCCTGCTTCCTGGCCTCAGAAGTTTGTCCCTGTGCAGGTGCCTGGGGTGGATCCAGCAAGGTAGATAGGGTGGTGGGTGGGGATGAGTGTCCTTGCAGTGGGACCAGCTAAATCTGAGGTGTGAGTGTCCACTCCTCAGATTTGGCTGGACCCACTGCACTCCCTCTCATGGTGCTCAGCACAGTCGCTGTCTGCAAGGGCCTCCCCAGATCCCCAATGGCTGGGCCTATGCCCAGCCCTTGCCCTCCCTCCAGTCCTTAGGACTCACCACTGCCTGGGCCACAGGGTGCAGTTGTCATGGGGATTATGGACCTGCTTAGCTGCCTCCTTAGCAACAGGACTTCCAGGTCAGTTACCATGGAAACAGCATCCACTCAGCCATCGGTGATGGGAACCTGCCCTTTCTGAGGACTTTTCTTTCTACCATGAGGGCAGGGCACCACAGCACTCCCTGAGCAGCCAGGAGCCCCCAGGGACTTGGCTTTTCCAATGGCAGATCACTGTTTCTCTCTACTGGGCAAGGTCACAGGCTTACAGGGACCTTCTGCACCAGGGGTGGCAGAGGCTATCATCTGAGGGCTTTACAAGGTGTCTAGGGGCCAAGCCTAGCAGCCTCCCCATGCAGTGGGGAATGGGCAGAACTTTCTAACAAGGCCTAAATTCAGAGGATGCCCTAACCCACACAGAGTCCAAAGTCCTTGGCCACTCTGATAGGTAATCCTCTTTCCTGGTCATGAGATCTCCAGCTCGGTAACCTTTTGTTTCCTAGCTGCCCTCCAGCTTCTGAGGGCTCAACTGACCAGGCTAAGATGGTATAGCCCTGTTTTGTAGCCAGCTGGAGCTCATGTGCACATTACTACCCCCCTCCTCCTTCAGGGAGCATCAGAAAGTCCCAGGGACTCTGGCAGCTGGGGTGGGAAGGATCTCAGTCAGGGTCTCCCCCACCACTGACAAAGGATGCACACACATTCTCTCATCCTCCTTACTCTCACCAGCCCACACACAGTGCACAGCTGCCTCCAGTGTCCACAAGTGCTCTAGGCAGGGCAACGGTGGCCATCCTAGGAGACCTGTCCACTGTCCTCCACAGCCTTGCTTCTGAGCCTCCAGTATTCATTCCCCAGCAACTTCATTCCTCCCTCAATCCCTGACCCCTAAAAAAAAGGCAGCATCTATTGGATTTTTTTTTTATTTAAAGAAAATATACAATATGGAACATTTACCGTTTTCTGTTTTAAAAGTGGAAGATTTGAAAATTGCTTGTGGGGATAGAAGGGCCTACTGACTGGATTTGGCTTACCCAGCCTCCAGAGTGGCTGCACTGGGTCAGAGCTTTTATAAAATGTGTATGCGTGTGTGTAGAGGGTAGTGAGGCCAGCAGTGATAACAAGGGTGTGTCCTCACTCCTCATGCCACTGAACCCTCCACCCTCACTCCTGTCCCTTTCCTACCTCCAGGGCTACTGTGGGTATAGATTAAGTAAGCCTTCAGGGGTGTGTGTAGAACTCAGATTGAGGTTTCTGTTAAAATTTTCCAGCTCTGAGAACTCCCTGGTCTGAGGGGACTTCTGCCCAGTAATGACAAAGGCCAGGTGGCTCCCTAAGACCCAGGATCCTCACCTCCTTCTGTCCTGAAAAACAGCTTCCCACTGCGTGTGGCCCATCACTGGAGATATTGACCTGTCCCACAGCCCAGGACAAAGCCAGCATTTAGCTGGAGCACAGAGGAGAGCACTTGAAGCATGGATCAGTCTTCCTTACTATTCAGGTCTTGGTAGCAAACCCACTCCTACCCTATAGAGGCAGACCACTGAGCTTGACTCTAGAATCTTGTTGGAAAGGAGGATTATACCTAAGGAGCTTCTATAATCTGAGCTGCTTTCACAATGACTCCCACTCTGAACCTGCTTCTGGCTCCTAGTTGCCTGCAGAATCAGGGCCAATCTCCTTAGCCTGGCACCCATGGCCTTCCCTCTGACCACTGGCTCCAGGATCTCCTCCCAAAGCCCCCAGCTCCACACTGTACATCTATCTTCATTATATCCCCACTGAGCACTCCATCCCACCCACCTTTCTAACTTCCTCCCTTCCCTTCCCCACCCTCTCTAACTTTCTAACACTTCTCACATCTCAAGGTCTGGCTCAAGCCTACTACTGGCCACACACCTTTCTTAGGCCCTTTGGGAAGCCCAGCTACCTCCTATGCCCTAAGGTCATAAGTCCTAGAGCCCTCAGCCAAAGCTCCCTGGGATCTCACCATAGCTTGCTGGAGCAATGGACTGGGTGTGAGGAGAGGCAGAAGAAACATAACTTATTGAGCACCTACTATGGAATGTACCTGGTACTAGGCTGGGCATTTCACATATTCTGCTTTTCTCATCCTATCCTCATATGTACTTGTAGGACGGCACCATAATTATTCCCATTTTACATTTGAGGTAACAGACTCAGAAAGGTCAGATAATTTGCCCAAGATCACACAGGTAAGGCAGGGCTGGAATTCAAACCAGGTTTGGTTCCCTCCATAATCTGGTCTCTCCCTCTGTATCATGCTTGAAAACTAACTCAGCCCCTCTCAACAGTTTTAATGGAAGGAACCTAGGCTTTGGCCTAAGCAGGCATAAATTAGAATCTTAAATCAGTCTCAGCTCTGTTATACCTAGCTACATGATTCTGGAAAAAGTACCCCAAACTCAAGTTTTCTCATCTGTGAAATAGGGAGAATCAAAGTACTTATCCCATGATCTTTGTGAAATGGAAGGAGTTAATGTGTGTAAAATGTTGAACCAGTGCTTGGCACAGAGCAGTCTCAACCAGAAATACCCTCACCTCCCACTGTGCCGACAGGGAACTGAGGGCCACAGTGGGGACAGGATGTGCTTGAGGACCTACAGGAGGCACAGTTCAGAGTCCTCTGCTTCCATGTGGTGAGAGGTCAGGCTGGAAATGGATATGAAACCAGAGATGGGGAGAGAGGAGCCTGCTGAGAGGTATTGGGGTCCTCTTCCCTGAGGACTGGAAAGAATACTCCCCCCAGACCTTGCGATGCCCAGCCTGTGGGCTATGGTGGGCTGCTGGATGTAAGGTGACCTGGGTGTCCCGGCAACATTGGGTTAAATGAGATTGCACACATGTGAGTAGCTATCTACATGGCTCAACAGAATGCTACATAGCTTATACATATACAATACATACATATACAGATCTTGCTAGGTTTGCAGTAAAAATATGCAAAATTCTCAGGACCTTGGCCCCATTTTGTTCCAAGGACTCAGGAAACTCGGGCTCCCCAGGAAAACCACCAATGGCAGCCCCTAGAAGACTCCCAGCAGAGTGAGGCACCAAGTTCACTGCTAAGGGAATGGTGGTGGCTGGTGCCCTAAAACAAACACAATGACAGGTCTGCTCTAGGGACTCCAAACATGGGTAGCCCCCACCCCTGCCAAGGCCCAGCAACCCACCTCCTAACCTTGCTCTGGCTTTTGCATTTGAGCTTTGCCTAACTCCCCCTACTTCTGAGTATTAAAATAGTCTATAAAAGCAAGTGACCAAAAATCTATAGCTCTAAGAATACCTGGTTATTTTCTGCTGTCTTTTGTTTCTCTGTGTTTTTTTTTTTTTAAATTATGATTATTATTAGTGTATCTCCTAAATCACAGTTAAACCTGAAGGAAGAAAGAAGAGAGAAAAGAGAAGCCCCAGTTCATAGATTGGACGGCAGTTTGGATCGCACTGGCTCAGCCCTGGGCCCAGGTTCCCTCTGGGAAGCAGCAGTCAGAGGGGACTCCCCAGAATAGGCGGCTCTTGCCCCAAACAAACAAAGAGGGGGTGGCAAAGAACCTGAGGATGTCTTCTGAGGCAGATTTACATGATGCCCTGAGGCGGCACCATAGGGCCTCCTAGGGGGATCAAGGCCCCCACTGCAGCCCCCAGTTCTAGGGAAAAGTGGGAAGGCAGCCACAGACTCCCTAGAAAAGTGTGGGGAGGCTCTGTGGAGGGTCTGTGCCCCATCCTGGGGTAGGGCCGGCTGAGAGGCTGAGATGAGCTTGATGTCCTTGGTTAGACGGCCTGGGGAGACAGGTGGTGTGCCCCAGCGCTGGGGAACCTGGAGTGGTGGGGACCTGGTTACAGGTGGCAGGAGCAAGGAACCATGGGAGCCAGAGGCCTGGGGTGAAGCATTTGGAAAAGTTCTTGGGGGGGCTGGGCTGTGACCAGGAGGGCTGAGACATCTTTGGGGGGTAAAGGCTATATGAGAAGCCTCCCCAGAGGCCCCTGCCATTGATGGCTGCTCAGGCTGCCATGGAGGTGTCTCTGGCAAACTTGGTGAGCCAGCAGCCAGACCTGAAGACAACTCTCCAGGAGGCTGGTCAAGCTGCCCTGGACTAGAGGATGGTGACCTGGATGAAGGTGGGGGTGGCAGGAAATGGGCCAGGAGTCCCAGGCCTCCCTGGGGCCCTGGTAGTGAGGGTAGTGGCTGGTTAGCCTGTGGGGAGTTGGCACCTGGCAGTAGTGGGGTGAGCAGGGGTGAGTCGGATGAGGAGAGGGAGCCACCCAGTGCTTTGTGGAAGAGGCCAAATCCGGCTATGGTGGTGGAAGCTGTGTTGGCGGATAGTGTGGGAGCTGGAGAAGAGCCACAGACCCTGGGAGGTGGAGAAGAGCTGGATGAAGACAGGAGAGGGCTCAGTCCAGCGGGTGCGGAGAATCCAGCCAACTGTTGGATGTGAAAGGAGGAGGAAGATGGTGTAACCAACTGGGATAGGCTGCTGGTGGGTGAGGCAGAGCCCAGTGCAGAAGGGATGAAAGACTGCAGCCGCTTCAGATGCCTGGGTGTCTGCCCGGGCTCGAGGCTGCTGAGCTTGGGGCCTGGGGGAGGGCGAAAGATGGCAGTGGGCAGACGTGGGTGGTGGGTGAGGGCTATGGCTACAGAAGTGGTGGCTGCTGCAGCCTGCAGCGGTGCCTGGATCAGCGGGGTCCAGATGACAGGGGTGGTGGTCGGGGTGGCGGAGGTGGCAGCCTGGATGCGGTGCGCACAGTGAGCCATCTCGCGGTCATGCTGCACAATCTGCTGGATGATCTCATTCTCCTGGTAGTTGAAGACACCTGAGTTGAGGTCATGCTGGACTTTGTGGAGAAGAATGGAGTTCTTCTTGCCTGGGCCACAGAAGGAGAGCAGGGGCTCAGGGCAGAGGAGAGGGGGAGCCTGGTCCACCTCCCTTCTGCCTTCTCGCCCAGTCCCCTCACCAATGCGGTCCAGGCGGTCCAGTGCCACAGTCTCGAAGGCCCGCCGCATCATGGGATACTCCTCCAGCACCTCATTGAAGTTGTCCACACTCAGCGAGTACAGGCGGCAGTAGGTGTCAGCGCGCACACTGGCTGTGCGTCTGCCCCGTGTCAGTAGGCAGATCTCTGCTGGGACAGCAGGAGTCAGGGTGGCCTCCGAAGGGCCTCCTCCCAACCTTGTCCTGGGTCCCCACTACCTAGTAAAGATGCTTGACAGATACATTCACAAGTCCCCCATTCCATGCACCTTTCCTATCTCTGGGACCATCTCTCTGTGCTGGGCTCATGGACACCTACCTCTAGGCGGTGCCCATGAAAGGCCTGAAATGTTTTTCTCGGTCTCTCCAGCCCATTTCCCTGTCCCCTCAGGGTCTCCTGGCTACTCACCTCCAAAGTAGGAGCCATCTGCCAGCTTGGTCTCCTTGTTGCCCTTGGTGAGCACGCTGACCACTCCGTGTTGGATAAAGTACATCTTCTTGCCGATGGTGCCTTCTCGGATGATGTAGTCCCCCGGCTGGAAGACCTCAAAGCGCAGTTTAGTCAGCATGGATGTCACGAAGTTGGGATCCGCGTTGGCAAACAGTGGCATGGAGGCCACCAACTTCCGGCAGTTAAAGTTGATGATCTCCTGCTCCCCAGAAAGGGTGGATTGGGAAAGAGGGAGGAGATGAGCAGAGTCACCAGGCAGAAAGGCATGGATCCCTTTCTGCCTGGCCACCACCCAGCTCACCTCCCGAAGTGGCTCGCTGAGCTCGCCCAGGATGCTCTCCTCGTCGAACATCTTGCCCTGGTAGCGGTGCTCGTAGTAGTCATGGATGCGCTGCCGAGTGTCGGGTGGGAGCTTGTGGAAGGACATGTACTGCTCCACCTGCTTGTACTAAGTCCAGGGACAGAGAGAGAGGCTGTTACCTCTTAGCTGGCCAGCCCCACTACCCTGGCTGGCCCCACCTGGCCTCAGCCCTCCTGGTGGCTAGAGTTGGCATTAATGCTGTGGGTGCACTTGGGTGACCTTGGCTCCTTAAGCTTGAGGTCCTCAGTGTGGGTGTGGTCACACTGTGTCCCATACAATGGCCCTGACTACCAGTAGCTGGGATGGAGGAGGAGTCCATCCCAGAGACCGGTTTTCAATGTGCTCAATACTATGGAGATGGCCAGGGAAAGAAGGACTGTCCAAAGCCCAGTTACAAGAGGCCAACTGTCCAGGAAGTCAATGACATTTCTTCTAAACATTGGTCCCTCTGTGTTACACTGTGGACCAGAGAGGCCTTGCTGACTTGGGAAGAAGTTCTTTCCCACCAGTGGTAACAACCTGGCAGCATCAGCAGGACTGGGCTGCAATGGGTTACAAGGGCTGGAGGCTGAAGCCAGCCATCATGTGACACGTCATGTATTCCAACATGGCCGGGACTGAGACTAAGTCACTTTGTTGGAGAGCAACTATAACCCAGGGGAGGGGTCTGGGACAGCAAGGACCTTAAACATGTTTGAAATAGAGATTGTTGAACCCGCCCATCCTGGGGTGCTGCTCCAACCCACCTGGATTGCGGGTGGGAAGTGAAGATCCTCAGGGACCACAGGCACTAATTGGGCAAGAACAGATTTTTCCCCACAAAGGAATGCAAGGGAAGTTCCTACCTAAGAAATAGTCATAATAGGCAGCCTACTCTCATATATCAGTGCTCCAAAGAGGTGGGGACATAATGCTGCTGCAGAGATGCTGACGGGAACCTGGGGGCTTGGAGATGACCTTTCTTTCTTAACAGTCTTCCAGCCAAGCTGGCCCCTGTCTGCTCTAAGTTGTGCCAAGCTACAGGAAACAGTGACTCTCTGGCTGGCTATGGCTGTACTTTTTTTTTTTTTTTTTTTTTTTTTTTTTTTTTTTTTTTTTTTTTTACAATTCCCCATACATAGAGAAGCAATTGGGGTGGGAGGCAGGGTCTGGAGGCAGGGCAAAAGTTGGAAAGTTGTTAAAGGGGTCCAGGTAAGAAAGAGTAGTAGGGACAGAGGAGGAGGTAATATGTTTAATAGATATTTATGGGTGAATTATACATCAAAGAGCTATTAGCTAAAGGATGAAATGATGGAAACTCTCAAATGAAAAGCCATAGGCAGCTTATTCTGCTGGACAGTAGATCCTGATTTTTTTTTTTTTTAATTATCCCTAATGGTAGTCCCAGACTGAGCCTCCGTTCTGCTCACACATTGAGCCTCAACCCTGCTCACAGGCTGGGCCCTAATGCTGGGCTATATTAATCTCTTTCCTGGCCCTTGAAGCACTGGCCTTTAAACCCTGACTCCACTCTCCTTCCCCTCTCTCGTCCCTTCACTCCTAACCAGAACCCTTTGCTCTAACCGGGTTTATTTCTTTACCACCCATCTTTATATACCTTTGCTCATGTTCATCATGATCACTGGCCTAGCATTTTCTTCTACCTCCTCCTTCCTCTGCCTTCCCAAAATGACCTTCCCACCCTGTTCTGGTTCTTCAGGCCCTCCCCAGGCTTTCCTCTTCATGTCATGGGACCTGGGATGCCATCTCTCAGTCACCCCATCAGGAGACAGTACCTGAGGCAGACACGCAGGCAGTTCATAAATACATACTGAGCCCTACTAATGTGTTGGACACTGGGGATCCATGGGGACTGGCCTACCCTCATGGAGCTATGACCTGGATAGGGAAGATGGATATTAAACAATTGGCTACATATAATTAATTAAGTAATGACAGAGTGTGACGTGTAATGAAGGAGAATTTGAGGGTGTCACTGGGTCACATGATGGGTGGAGGCTGACTGGGTCCTGGAAGACTTCACCAAGGAGGTGAAGTTTAGGCTGAGATGTGGAGAGAAGGGGTCAGGTGAAAAGAGACAGGAGGGTTCCAGCTTGAGTCTGTGTGAAGACCCCGAGGCAGGGGAGGCACATTCAGGGAGGCTGGCAAGGCTGGTGCATAGAGGGCTAAGGAGCCCATGGCGTGTTCTGAGCATGAGAAGTGGGGGAGCGCTTACATGCCAGGCTGAGAAAACACACTTACTCTGCATCTTGGAGTAAGAGAAAGCTATCAGCAGTGATATGAGCAGATTTATATGTTTTAAGTTCCAATGCCATCTGCCATCTGGAGAATGAAGTGGAAGGGGCAGAGGGATGTCCGCTGGCTAATAAATATTGAATAGCTTACTCTGTAGGGTCACCCCTCATAAATACCATGATATAACCCTTGGTATTGTCCTCATTTTACAGACAAGCAAATGGGACTTAGAGATGTGATGCTATATGTCCATGTTCAATGGAGACCTTGTCAATGGGGAAGCTGGGCTTAGAACCGAGGCAGCCTTTTACTCCAGCACAGCCACTTAGAAAGCAGCTGCGTGATCCAGGCAGATGCCAGCTGGATGATGGGGACGAAAGGAAGCATTAATGACTAAGAGACAACAAGGATGGCTCCTAGTTTCTAGCCTGGGCATTTGTGCTACTGTGTCCACTAACAGGATGGGCAAGAGTAAAGGTTTGGAGCAAAGAAAGCAAGGGAGGCTGTTCTCGTTTCAGATGCAATGAGGTAAAGGTGTCCAGGGAGGCATCAAGTAGACAGTGCGGGATGAGAAAGAGTGGGACTGATTATATCATTTGGAGCCTGCTGCATAGAGACAGACATGGAGCGTGGGGATGGGGTGGTAAACACATAGCACCCAGAAAGACAGGAGAGACAGAAACACAGAGAATTAAGCTCAAACTATCAAGGGACACAATGTATGAAGACTGAAAAGACAAGCAGTCAAGGAGAGCAAGGAGGACTAGCCTGTGAGGAGGAGGAAAGCCGAGATTGTGTGGTCATGGAAAGCAAGTGTAAACCAGGGGGCAGTGATAACTGTCAAATGGAATGAATGCCCCAGGGCTCCACACAAGATGTGGACCCAAAAGGTGCTAGCCACACAGAGGGCACTGGCACACTCACATTCACTGGGTTGAGATACAGATTCAGTGTCCATAAACAATGTGGAATTTTTGTATATTTTAGAAAAATATAAAAAAGAGAGACTGCAGCAGAAAAGTCAGCAGCGGAAGCCAGATGATGGTGGCAGGCTGGACACCCAGTGGGGGCCTTGTGGGGACCCACTGGCTGGAGCCTGTGCTCCCTAGGGACCAATTGGCACCCTGAAATAGCCCAAAGTGAACACAGCTTTCTGTCCTACCTTCTCCTGGTACTGGCGTCGGGAGGAGTCCAGGGACTGGATGAGGGCGGTGGCATGGCCAATGAACATGGCGTAGCAGGTGGCGCCCACAATCATGCTGAGCATGGTGAGCCACACATCAGACATGCCCATGGGCGCCTGTCGTCCATATCCGATGCACAGCATGTGACTCATGGCCTTGAACAGCGCATAGGAATACTGCTTTCCCCAGGAGCTGTTCTGTAGGTAGGTACACAGACAGAAGGTGGAGTGGTAGTGAAGGCTTACACCACTGAGAGAGCAGGCCTTCTCACCAGCACCTAGAAAAGTCCCCACCACTTCCCATCCCTCAACTCTTTCCCAGCTATTAAGCCCAGGGCTCCCACCTTGCCAGTGGCTGAAAGCCTTGGAGAGGGGCAGGGAGGTCCATAATGGCAACCTATGTGACCGAGTGAATTCTCACTTAGGCTTTTCTCTTGCAGTGGGGGATCAGGATCAAATGGGAAATCTAGAAAGGGATAGGAGCGGTGTAGCTCCCATCAAACCTCTCAGCCCTCACAGAGCAGCCTGGGCCTCTTGAGCAACAAAAGACTTCAGGCTGAGCCACACACACTGCTGTCTTCTGCTTACTAAAATAGCTCTGTCCCCTTACCCACAACTGCTGTCAAGTAAAGCCCATTTCCCCACTGACCTCAATTATAAAAGCAGATATGTTCCCCCTAAGGGGACAGACTCTCAGATTAGGCCAAAAACACTGTCCTCGTTTTGGGTGAGCAAAATCTAAAGTGCTGCTGAGCTGATTCCCTTCCTACATGAACCCTGCCTGCATCTATCCAAGGCTGTGGCCACCAGTTATCCTCTCCCAACAAAAGGTAAATTACCTGGGACATACAATGCTTGGAGTGGGAGAAGAGAGAGAGGGAGGGAAGTAACTGGCTATTTTTGTCTCCAAAGCTAGTTGTGTCTCAAAGAAGCCTCAGTGTGCGAACAAGGGTCAAAAGGGCCAGCTCCTGAATTTAGTGCATGTGTGGTCTTGTCATCCTCACATGGAGGAAACTGTCCCAGACGAGGGGGCTCCAGATGAATCTCAGTGCTGGCCACCTCCCCAAAGCCTCTCTGCTCACACAATGAATATGTTAACAATGATGTGGAACCCACCTTACTGCATAACCCACAGAACCCCTTGCCAGAGACTCAAGCACTTCCAGGGTCACCAGGCTGTTCTCAGCACCTGAAGGCAGGCACAGGAGCTGCACACCATGTTCAAGGTCTCTGAGACCATACTGGACAGAGCTGAGTTGGTATGGTGCTCAGTCCTAACCTGGGTGGGAGGTCTGGAGGGACTGATCTAAAAAAGTGGAGGGGGCCTGAGCACTGGGGGAACAGGAGGTACTAGCTGCCTTCAGTCAGAAATTCCAGCCTTATTGCTGGGGACTCAGAAATTCAATCCATATAGCTGATTCATTTACACTTAGCTCATCAAAAGGCTGTTTTCTAAAGGCCTATTTGATACTGAAAGATGTTTGGAATCTCTTTCACCTCTTTTGAAGCCAGCTTCCCCTACTCAGGGGCCCTGGAGATCTGCCTACAGACCAAACCAAACTGGCAGGTCCCCCTGGACCTGTAAGAATGAGGTTCCCAGACACAGAAAGAGGCTCACAGGTCCAGGGGGTCCTCCATCCCTCCTGGAGCCCACCCTGTCCATGGGGGAATGGGGCCTCTGCCCTATGGCTTCCCTAGACTCAATTTCAACTTCTCTCAACCACCCACAGGTTTGGAAGGGATCAGGCTCAATCTGATCTGTCCTCCCTACTTAGGACATCACCTATGATCAGGATGTATGTGCATATGTGGGGTGGGGGATGAGGGAATGACAGGAGTAGGAGGACAGTCCAGCTCTGAAGCTGGAGCAGAAGGTAGCCACTGTGTGTGATCTGGGAGTCTATGCCTACTAAAAACAGTGTCGTCCCTCTCATGCTTCTCTTTACTTGGGCTTGGCTTTTAAAGGTGGATCTGTGAGTAGGAAATTAGACTTGAGTGGCTGGGATGGGGCCTGCCCTGGGGTCCTGATCAGGGGTCGGATCAGCATTACCTTCAGATCACCTCTCTGTGGGTGGCCCAGTAGCCAGCAGACCACCAGCAGGCAGGTTTGGAGCCAGCTGGTTCTTGGCACATGCTCAGAGGAAAACGACAGGACAATACAACCTCACTAGGGCCCTGTATTAATTATAATAAAATTTGTATTTTGGTTTTGACCTCTTCCCCATGGGTTTTTCCGTATGCATTATGGATAAGGGCATGCCCAGAAAAAAGGTAGTGTCTGTTAATGATGCCTAAATACAAATGCAAGTCTCTACCCAGAAAATCCTTCTTTTAAACCCAGGAGTTTGGGGCCATTATCTCTTGTGTTTGTGCTCTACCTTCAGGGAGCACATCCATGCCATTTCCTTTCTCCTTCCCTTCCCCCACAGGCACATACCTCCCAGCCTCTAAAGGACCACACAAGACTTGCACCCAGGGGAGGAATGGGCAGCTGCAGCTCAACCAGGGCTAACACTTAAACCTGTCTCCAAGGCCCCCTTTCTCTGACTTTCCAGTGAGTTAAAGCAGCCCAGCCATTCTCTCTTTCTCTTTCTCTGAGTGGCCCACTCCTTGTTTAGAATGTATCTTTAATAAAACCCATTTTGCTTTACTTTCATTTTTGTTGATCTTAAAATATTTTTTGCATCAATGAAAAGAACTGAGGTCCCAGTCAGTAATCCCAATCGGTAACAGGTCTGCCTCTGGCAAACAGGCAGGAGGGCAAGAGCCACCAGTCCAGCTCTGCCACGCCTGACAGAATCCAAGGAGCCTAGTTTTATTTCCTTTGGGTGAAATCAGCTCCAAATAGCTAGGCTCCCAGTTGCAGTGAGACTGTAAGAAGGCAGAGGTAGCAGCGTGTGGCCACGAGCTCTGTGACAGACCTGTACTAGGTAATGCCATGTCCCTGACACCTCAGGGTCCTATATGTCGAAACTCAGGAGTTTTAAGTTGTGTACCTGCTCTGCCCCTCAGTGCCTCATCAGGCCCCTCTGCCCACACCAGGGCCCGGCTGGGTGCTCACCACCATGCTGTTGATGGACACCCAGCAGTCGTCAGGGAAGTCCTGCAGCATGGGGACCAGGAACTGCAGACAGCCGTCCCAGTGGCACAACAGGAGCATCATGCCGATGAGGTTCACGATGCGCACCACAGCGCTGGCCAGGTCGTAGGTCATGTGGAAGATCTGTCCACAGAGGTAAGCGACCAGATGAGTGACCAGGAGGGGGGAACACCCCCACCCAGTCAGACCCTGCAGCTTTGAGTGGCACTGCTCTGCACACACGTGGTAGTGCGCCCAGGTCATTTCAGGTTAGGCTATGGCTAGAGTGGGAAGGTGTCAGGCCAGGCCCTGAAAGAAGCAGATTGCAGGTGCAAGGCCCCACAGGGATCTGTGCAGGTGTGTGTGTGTGTGTGTGTGTGTGTGTGTGTGTGTGTGTAGAGGGACTCCCATGGGAAGTCCAGCCATCCAGGACTCATCTCTCATCTCTTACAAAGTGGCTTCTCCTACCCTGGGGATTTGCCTATAGGCCAAATTAAACAGCCTGGGAGAAGAATGAGGGGTGTCTGGGATTCCCAGACCTGGAGAGAAGAGCACCTGGAGCCCCATACAGACCTGCAGTGGGTAGAGAAATAGTTTTATCAGCTTGTCTAGATTATGAAACAACAACAAGGAGAAGAGCCAACCAGCCTGACGCTCCTCAGGGGACCACAGCCTATATTCACGACAGGGGCGTGGTATTTCCCTAAATCAGTCACCAGACTCTTAGAACTCCCCCAAGGCCAGTGGGTTCTGCCTAAGGCAGCCATGGAACTGCAAGGAAATAGCTGGGATACACAGGCTCCAAGTTCACACAGACTTTGATCCCAGGCCTTCTTCCTATCCAATTTCCAGCTGTAGAACCTTCAGAAGATATTTGAACCTTTTTGATCATGTTTCTTCATCTAGGAAATGGTGACAAAAAATTCTTACCTGTGTGGGTTGTCTAAAGAATTAAAATCTATACTAATAAAAGGGTATATGCTAATTAGACCAGGTCGACATCTTCTGGATGTCCCACTTCCTTCTGGATAAAGCCACGATGGCAGGGGTTGAGGCAGAAGCAATTAGAGGTGAGATCAGGCAGGCATGGGGGAGCAAGCAGTTAGGGGGCAATCAGGCCGGTGCCGGGAGGGCAGTTGGGGGCGATCAGGCTAGGGGCACAGTTAGGGGTGATAAAGCAGGCAGGCAGAGCAGGGTGATCAGGCAGGCAGGCTAGGCCCGGATTGCAAGAGGGATGTCTGATTGCAAGTTTAGGGACCTGGCCTAAATCAGCAGTCAGACATCCCCAAGGGGTCTCAGGTTGGAGAGGGTGTAGGCTGGGCTTAGGGACTCCAACCCCATGCACAAATTTTGTGCTCTGGGCCTCTAGTATACATATAAAATGCTTAGTATTAGGTGTAGAAGTATTCAATAAATTGATAATTGTTATTAATAATCTTCATGATTAGTTAATAGGTATTAGTAGTAACGCTCTTCTATACAGGTTAATAAAGTATAGCACTCTCAACTCCAGCCCCCTGCCACCCGTCCATTTCTACCACTGTGATTTCAAATGAGAGATTGAACTATGGCTGGGCAGGGCTAAAAGTGGGCACATCCCAGTATCCACATCCCACCTCCCTTCTCTCAGTAATGCCTCTTGGTTCAGTTTCAGCAGGAAGCACCAGTGAAGGGATGGAGAGATGGACAGGAAGTCTAGAGGGAGTTCTCTAGAAGTTCTGCCTTGCCTCTAGCCTTAGAGACTTTGGAGTATGACCTCACTCTTAGATCTGGTTCCTCCATACTATTCCCAGGCTTCCTAGAGAGGGACTTTGAGCCAAAATTACCAACTTTTCAAATGCCTATAAGTTTACAAACTAGTTTAAGCCCATTTCGAGATAGGGAAACTGAGGCCCAAAGAAACAGACCCTAGATATTTCTACCCCCATCTAGTGGTCCTCTAACTGCAGCTTTATACCTGGTGGCAGGATATTCTGATTCTAGTGACCTCAGCTTCTCCTTCTGAAATGTGAGTTTAACCTGGGGTCTAGATTTTGAATCACTAAAGATGAATACTATTTTTCCATCATCCACCCTCCTGTGGCCCCATTAGTAGTAAGACTCTGAATGCAGACATGCTGTGAAATTTTCAGGATGAAATGGACCTTGGAAAGGTTCATGGGGAATGTCAGCTCCAACTTGCCCCATCATCCTCTATGAACAAGTGAGGGACAATAACATAACAGTCATCATCTCACTTAAACTCATAACAAACTTTGCTGAACATATTGTTGATTTACTACATTTTACACTAAGGCTCAGAGAAGCAAAGAACTTGCTCATGGTTATAGTGGCAGCACAGTAGAGGCATAATTGAACCAGGGCTGCCTGCAGATTGTCAGACTGGCCCAGTGACAAAAAAGGTGGTTATTTTACAGATAAAATAATTTAAACCCAAAGTGACTGAGTTATGTGGCCAGATTTACAGCAAGCTGGGTCCAGGGCCAGGTGGGACTCCTCAGCACCCGGTCCCAATCAACCCAATGCCCTATACCCTGAAGCCTAGCCCCACTGGGGCACAGGAACCAGCCCCAGGGTTGTCAGTGGGCCAGGTCCTGGCTAAGCTGATACATCTTAGTATAAGGAGTGGTAGACACTAGAGACCAGGCAGGGCAGTTTGGGATGGCAACCAGGGCTAAGTAGGGACTGGGGCCTGTGTCTGGGATGCAGAATATACCCAAGCAAGACCCTGGTGTCGTTGACCAACCTTCTGCTGCTGGCCATGTCCCAGACTTGAATCCTAAACCCCATAGGCTCCCTCTGCCGCATCTCAGTCTCACAGCAGTTCCTGTATACAAGCACCAAGCTCTGGCTCTGTGGGAAGACTACACTTTTGCCTCTTTAACATTTAGGTGAATACAATAGTTCTATGACCTTGGGCAAGTCATTAGCGTTTCAAATTCTTGGTTGACCAGGATGTCACCAGCTTCCCCAAGTGACACGGGACCAACCATGAGGATGGCCAGTGACATGGGATCATACAGTCTCAGAGATGGCCAGCACCTGCCCTCACTTCCTACCACACTTCAGCCTCCCCTCACCTAAGAAGCTAGCTACCGTATTTTCCGGCGTATAAGACGAACCCCTAATTTTACAGTTAAAACATAGGTTTAGGCCTATAATCGCTGTATAAGACTACCCCCCACTTCCAAGGCAACACCAGTTCTTTTTTTAATAGACAGCCTCTCTAACTCAGCCAATCCAAGCAGGCTTTTTATGCATGCAAATTATACATGTTCTGTACCCAAAGCTTCACGTGTTCTAGTAAAAAGCCTGCTCAGATTTGCCAGAGTCAGAGAGGCGGTTCTTAAAAAAAGAACTGGTGTTGCCTCGGAAGTGGGGGGTAGTCTTATATAGCGAATATAGGCCTAAACCTATGTTTTAACTGTAAAATTTGGGGGGTTGTTTTATACGCCGGAAAATACGGTATCTGCCCACCACTTCTCAGGGTTGCTGGAGAAATTGATGTGGCTAAAAAAGTGTTCTGTAACCTGAACACATACATACATAGGATCATTATTATTTATTTCCTTCATTTCTGAGCTGGACTGAATGTTTGTCACCCCCAAATTATTTTGATGAAGCCCTAATCCCCAATCTCATAGTATTAGGAGGTGGGGCCTTTGAGAGGTGATTTGACTATGAGGTTGGAGCCCCATGAATGGGATTAGTGCCCTTCAAGGAGAATACATGACAGAGATGATCTGCAAACCAGGAAGCAGGCTCTTACTAACCATGCTGGCACCCTGATCTCATTCTTCCAGCTTCTAGAACTGTGAGAAATAAATGTTTAAGACCCCCCCCCCCCCACTCTGTGATATTTTTCTAGAAGAGCCTGACCTGGATAATAGGAGCTTAAAAAGCTAAAGGAAGCCTTGGATCACTTTTTGAAAGTGTCTCAGATGGCCACTGCCTACAGTAACTGTTTTTGTTTTGTTTTGTCTTGTATTGTTTTGTTTTCTGTAAACCACTTAATATTTTGTGTATCAAGGGTGGCACATTTTTATGCAATATCTTCTTTTCTTTTTGTATTACCTATGTTTTTCTTTTCTTTGTAACTAATTATCTTCTAAGATCAGGTCATTGTCTAATTTTACCTTATTGTGATCTCAGCAATGAATATGGTAAAGCACATGGTAGATGGGGTCTCAGGAACTGAGAAGTGCTCAGGGTGAAGGTGATTATGAGGATCAAGGCCATCCAGTGTAGATAGTGACATGTGAAAAGGCCCCGCTCTGTGCAGGTACAGCTCACAGGGAATCTGCCTTTGCCTTTGCGGGAAGAAGGAAGGTGCCATTTTTTGCCGGAAGTCACAGACTACTTTACCCTACAGAGGACATGTTGGGGGTAGTGCCTGGTATTGGGCTGAAGAAGGATGTATTTGCTGGGAGGTTAGTAGGGGGATGATGGGCATTTGGGTGGAGGGGAGGTGTACTGCGGATAGCTATCAGACACTAGAAAGCCAAAAACACCAACATGGAAAAGTCTGATGTTCATGCAAAGAGTTGGTGGGGGGCATCCATTCAGGCCAGGAGGGTACCCCAGATAGTGAGGAACCAGGTGTGGTTGCTGAGAGCAAGGCTGGTTGTTGCTGGGAGAGGTTGCTAAACACTGTGGGCTGGAGCCACAGGCCACCTGCAAGGCTGCTGCACTGTGCAAATATTTGTCTTGCTCTTTATTCCTTATTACAGTCCCTTTTTATGATATTGGTTCTGTCTCTGGGGGTGAGTACCTTCATTTCTAGGTCTCTGCAAACCTTGCTGGATGAGCAGCCTGGGAAGCCCACTGTCTGTGCCCCAGATAGCACTTGGGGGAAGCTCCATTCCCACTCCCTCTGTAGTGTCTCGACCCAGTGCCAAAGCCGAGTGACGATTCCATTTTGGGCAGGTGCTTTCTCTGCTCTGAACCTCAATTTTCTCATCTGTGTCAATAACTGCCAGCTCCTGTGCTGTCTTGGGGTCAAGGGAGAGACACTCAGTACGTTTCCTTTCCTTCCCTCTTCCAACCCTCAAAACAAAGAGTTGATTTCTTAGTCCAGGAGAGACCCAAAACTGAAGTTTCCACCAGTCCTCCTCTTAGGGCGTGGGTGAGTTCCCTCCCAGGGT